GTCTCGGTGTCACAATGGTGAGCACTGGATGAGGAGGTCGCGGTTTCGATTCCTGATAGGACCAATTTTGGAAATGCACTTTTTTAATTGCCCCAGGATAAATTCCGTTGCTCTGGTACTCATAATACAGAGCATTCCCTAGTTTGAGACCAGGCGTTGTGGTTGTCTGTCACACTATTATTAGTATGACCGGCTAATTGTAATTACGTGTCGGTAAATATAGTGACTACCTTATTATTAATTTTCAAAAAATATATGTCGTCATGCTATATAATGTGATAGTTTTGATTTCTTTTTTGCATACAGTCGAACAGATTGCATTAGTAAGAAAATAAAAAATATAATCGTCTTCAGTCACATCTTTGTGTATCACGTCATTGTTAAGCCCCTAAGTCTCCGTTATAGAATTTTGTTTATCTGACTCGAGTAAAGGCTTTGTTGGCAAAGGCATGCGATAAAACGGGTCGCATGGGCTGCCCTGAAACATAAAGGGACTGAAATAAAGGAATATTTGCGATACCAGATACACTTGATTGATGATACCGCTATCAGGCGCTGTATGTTATAGTAAATTTTTAGAATCGTTATGTTATGTGTTGAGCTAAATTTATTAATGGACCTTTGGTGTACGCTGTGGTGGAAATTCCGGCAAATTTGTAATATGAACAAACAAAAAGTCCGTGTCTACTAAACAGATACTATGTTATATTGTTATGTTAATATTTGATAATAAATAAAGGCTCAATGTTCTATATATAGAATTCGTATTGGAAATTGGAAATCCTTAGAAAGTGGCTGTGATGACGTCAGTGATATTTTGTTATAAAAAGATAAAAGCAGATATATTATAAAGGAATTAGCTTTTTATTCCACTGCGCAAAAGTTTTTAGAACCTTGTCGTTAAAAGTATTTGTTTATGTTGTTGGGTTCTGTCAAATTTTATTAATGTGCTAGACAACGACACCAATTACCTGGTCTGAAATTAGGGAAACAGGTACTCCGTGGAGGTAGGCGTTGTGGTGTAGTTGTGTATGGACAATGCTCTGTGTGGAATAGTAATATCTATAAAACGAATCGTGTGTGGTAAGTGTATAATACGCGTGAAGTCTTAGAACCAGAATTATAATGTGTGTTAGTTCTTCTTTTCATGAACATGGCAGGCTGTAGCAGAATATCAGCGGCGCTTGCATCCTCCGCCATTTTGTGTAGAGCTACAGACCTTTTTATGTTTTTATCTACTTAAGTAGCAGTAGAGCTCCTTGTGATAGAGTTCGTCTGGTTACCTATTTCTTCTGCCAAGCAGTAATATCAGCAGAAGAGCAAGGGTGCTTGTGAAATTACAGCCACGTATCTTTCTTGACAAACGTCGTAATGCAAATCTTGGTATAATCATAAATGCTGGTGAAATTATAGGCACATGGGACTTGTCAACTTATGTCTCAGGGTGACGGTCGCAGTGGTAGTGCCTCTCATATCTTTGCGATTAAAAGCTTTGAGTGCCACTGCAACAATGCACAAGCGTGTAGATTACCATCAGGCGCACGACTTGTTCGTCCCGTCACTTGATATTATAAAAAAAAAAACACTGTGTAGAGCTTGTATTTATTTTAACGTTTAATGTGTTGAGATAAATAAACGATATTACTATTATTATTAATTCCTTTGCCTGGCCGGGTCAATGTAGAAAACTAACATTTCAATATTGTCTCAAAGGCAAAGTCAAAATCACCTTTATTTTATAGGTAAGCCAATTACAATTGAATTTGTCATATTGATTTAACTGTACTCATTCGTAAGGCAAATTCCCCTGAGAAGAATGAGCAAGAAACTCTAGGGGTTGCTCTTTGTAAATATACATTTGAAGACATTTATCATTTACAATATTTATTTAAAACATCTTAGATCGAGAATACCTGCAAGAGTTAAATGAGTCACTATCACGAAATTTTGTCATCCAAGTACGCAGAACTGTTTTAACCTTTAGAATAAAGTTATTGTTTCACTATAGTTTTAAACCTAGTCAATGGCAAATTTTGAATATCACCCGGAATTTTGTTATAGAAGCGTATACATTGCCCCTTAAATTAAATCTCGGCTCAGGATGTTTATGGTTTCATTGTTGTTCCCGATTTTCATAACACAAGTTATTTAGATCCTTATTTTAGGATCAAAGCAACGTATATGATGTTGCCTAATATTTATTTATAAAATAAAAAATTTGGTTCTACCGGGAATTGAACCCACCTTAAAGCTCCACGTCCTACGTTCACAGTGCAAGCCGCTGGGCCTATGGGGTTGTGAATAATTACGTATTAGGGTATCTTTGTCCTAGATCGATTCAGATTCATTGACAACGAACGAATTTTATCGACATAGCCAAAGGTGATAATCAGCAGAAAGTGGAAATGGGGATAAAAAGGGCGCTTGAGTGGATAACCAGGGAAGGGTATAGAAGCATAGGTAGGTAACCGATCCACTGATCTGACGACCTTGTCAAACTGGCGGAGAAAAATTGCATGAGGAAGGCACAAGACTGGAAGGAATGGCGTGCATTGGAAGAGATCTACACTCAGTAGAGAAGAAAAGGAAGTATTTAAATGTGTCTTAGGACAGAGTCGTAACTTTTTTGAATGAAATAAATATAATTAAATCAGTTACAGTAATATACAATAAAGTAATGCTAAGAATTATGCATATAACAATAAAAACACAACAAGAACATTGAACCAGGTGACTATAAATATCACAACGGGAGGTCTTTCTATTAATGTTATTAGGCGGTTAGAATAACGAGCCAACAAAAGAATGTCAGCGATACAGCTCGCAACGTGAATACCAGTACATTATAATTGAATCTTGCATAAGATTTTATCATCACTCAAATTAACTTATAAAAAAACATGTTAATTATCTTTTTGATACCTATTTAATTTAATTAACTACTGTATTACATAGCACACTATTGCGCTAAGGGAGTCCCTACACTTATTTTACGTAGTATCGGCTTGAGCCTGTTAGAATAAGTTTTACGTCCATTCGATTCTGACCTTTCATTCTATATGGATACAAAGCTTTTTTGACCTGCTTCAGGCCTATTCAGAGACATGCGATGTTCGCTACCGCTGAGGGTGGCGAAAAATACTGCGCGGTATCTCGAAGGGTATTTGTATGAAATTCCACGGCTAGAGCGAAATCGAATTATCAACACTCCGCAAATCGATTAGTTAACATATGTAGCTGAAGGGCTCATTTGCGATCTTGACGTCGAAACAGTCAAACGATAAGTTTATAAGATTATAATGTTACGCACGGTTATGTCTTATTCACTGACGGCACATAAGTGATTATCTAGACGGGCACAAAGTAAAAAGAAACAGTTTCTTTACCCACAGTGGTACCGCTATCTGCCTAGGTTTAAACAATAGGAATACCACATACCAACTCAGATTTCGCTGTCCACAGCGGTAGCGATTATCGCGTATTTTTGAACAGGCCTTTAATGCGATTCCATGTTGCTAAGTCTGGTGATTGCCTAACTTGTTACAAATTTTGATAACGATTTTTAATCCAAATATGCAATCGGTATACAATGTATATGTACATAAATTTTCATTACACGTCCGGAATAACTTTATAAAACGCCTAGGCATTGCATAATTACATGGTTTGAATAATTATGTAATAAAGGCTTTCCGTAAACCTATTACTTAAGAGGGAGTGTTAATGAAGGTTTTTGGAAACAATTTAAGAACTAAGCATTTGTGTACTTGAGATGTGTTTTAGAATATAAAGTGCGCCATTGGCGATGAAGCTGCCGAGCTTCGATAACTTCGATGATTTTGTCATCCTCTTTCTATTGACGGATATAAGTGCAAGCAGGGACCTCACTCTTATATATTTTTTTAAATGATACTAATGTATATTGTTGGCATGCCACGAATTCGCCATATGCGTTTTGTTTCATCTTTTTTTATAATACCAAGTGACCGGACGAAGAAGTCGTTGGCCTGGTGGTAAGTGACACGAGGAGGTCGCGGGTAGTGGTTGGATGCGGAAAATGGGTGATCGGGCACTACTGCGTACACTTGGGGAGGTTTATGTCCAGCAGTGGATTGCAATAGGCTGATTGATTGATCAATTAGCAATATTTGGATTTCATACTATATCGTTTAATACAATGGTTTCGCGTCCACCAGCGTAATTTTGACCGATTTTCGTTGTGTCGCGTGTCTGAGGTCCCAGGTTCGATACGCAATGGGATGCTGGGGTCTCCTTTTGCGAGGATATAATGTCATATAAGGAGACCGCAGCAAGTGCTAGGAAGAAAGACGTTCATCCGGACCAAATCCGGTGTAGAAGGTTGGGGGGTCAGCGAAGACGTTACAATCTTCTCCTTCCCCCTTCAGCTGGTCCAGGGCACAATGTTGCCCGTCTGAGGAGGTACCCAAATGCACTCGGGTATCCCCCATAACGTCCTCACTTTCCCCGCGGAAAGGGACAGCCACCGGGGTGAGTGGCGAGTCGTAACGGTATCCCACCAGCTGGCACAGGTGGGTGAGGGTACATACACAGGTTTTTAGTGGGTAGGCTTCCGAGGATCCATCGGGCGAGCTTGTATCGCCGGGTGGATCAATGGAGGAGAGTCCCACATAACCCCGCCATGTCATCGCCCCCGGCGGGGTATGCGTAACGCAAACAAGGTTCGACCCAGCCGGGTCAATGTCGAGTCGTTGTTTCCAAATTCCATAACACAAATACTTTATGGTTACTTACTTTGGAATCAGAGTAATGTTAACATGATATTGTCTAATATTTATTCATATGTATGTTACGTTTTTGTTGAAGGTAAAAAAGTAAATAATTGTATTGCGGTCAAAATATGACCGCAATATTATTATTTACTGCCTTAAATATACGCAGATAGTAAGTATGATAAAAAATATGGAATAATTTTTATTTGCAGTAATTTTACAAATGGCTGAAGTCACAAAATTACTTACAAGTTTTTCGCTGTAACAGAAAAATGTGAGATAAATAAACAAAAATATTTCTGTGAACTTCCCATTAAAAAGTTACAAAAATGTCGCTTGGCATCTTCGAAGTTTAGAAAAGTTCTGTACCTCTAGTTATAAGACAATTAGGTAAGTTAGAGACGAAAAACGATACTTAAAGTTGATACGACTTAATAGAAAAGTATTTTGGCTTATTGCTGTGTTTTCTTTTGTTATTTTTAAAATGTGTAGGTTTTTAATGATAACGGTCGATATAATATCAGTCGAATCTACACTTATATAATTGCTACTGACTAAGTTTGTTATACGTGTTTATTACTAGTTAGACATTTTTTTAAGTAAACTTTCTATAGGGTTACATTAATGTACTGTCAGCAAAGTTGACGCCTGACTGCCTTAACGAATGAAGTTTTTGAAAATTGAAAAAAATTAAATTAGCCGCTTATAAAAGCGCTACAGTGGTGCTGTAGTCGTGCCACTAATCATTTCCAGTAACTAAAATATTTAGAAACGCAGTAGTAGCGCCACTGCCGTGACACGCGCGCACCATTTTTGCAGTTATAGTTAGTGAATTAAAATTAATGAAAATTACTAAAGCGCTACAGATGCTGCATTACAGTCGCGTCACTGCAGCACTTCTAGAAACGTCTAATTTGAAGGCGCCATAAAGTTTATTTTTGCGTGTAAGCAACGGCGGTCTGCACTGGCCATTTGCAGCTAGCTTGTTCTTGGCAACTAACAGCGCTAAATGCCTGGTTCATATTATTAATAAATACAAAAGTCTTTGACAACAAAGGGTCAACGAAATAAGGGACCTCTCTCCCGAACAATTTGTTTTGGGACTGGTAAAGCTTCAACTTTGTTGATAGTACGTTGACATTTTTAAATAATATATCATTGCGTATATTCTGATTCTCATTAAATTAATAAAATTCATTAAAGTACTTACATGAAATGCTCCTCTGATCAATGGTCCAGCCTGGCCCACATACAACGTAGATGCAGAATCAAATACCAATTCAACTGGGTTTCTCTTCACAGTCACCGTATCAAACTCGTGACAATTCAAAAACAATGTAACATTATCCGTCGTAACTCTCAGTGCAAATCTACTCCATTTCTTAGAAAATGACGGAACAACAAAAGACGCTATCGTCTGCGACAGAGCATATACGTTCGGATCTGTATACAAAAGAGAAATATTTGTCAAGCCAGGTCCAGATGGAATGAGTTGGACTCCTAATTGAACTAGAGTTTCTAAAGGATTCACTACGGAGAATAAAAATCCTCCATCTTTATTAGCGGGTCGAACAGTGGCTGTTATAGAAAATTCTGAATAAAGTTTCTCAGGCATGAAAAGACGATATGGGGATTTGATATCAGAGCCAGGTTTGAGGCCATAGGCAGGGAAGCCATCGAGTCCTTCGTCGAAGTATTGCGTCTTTGGATTGCTGAAGGGAACTCCGATGGCATGTAGCAGGTCATATTCGGGAACATCTGTGAAAATACAATTAATAAATGTACTTTTTATTTCGAAATATACTAGTCTATAATAATATAATAGTCTTAAACTACGGAATCTTATCAAGTTTGTAGGTTTTCGCGATTGTTACTCATAGAAACTATTTGTTTCGTACGTTTTTTTTTAATTTGTTTATGTTTTCAAACAAACCAACGCTTTGAGTCCTCTACAGGTCTCATGATCACAGCTAACTGGTATGTTTCAGAAAAAAGAACCAATTAATAAGCGATTTCGATTCCAAAAAATAGTTTCATTAATTTTTATAGCTGTAAAGATATAAAAATATTCGTCAGTTACGAATTAAAAGCTTGGTAAGTAAGTATTTGAAAAATTCAAGTTTCTTTTAAATTAATCTTTCGATAAAAAAACTATTTTTTAATTCTAGCAGTCAAGGTTATTTAAATTTTGGTTTTGTTGAGAAAAAAGTGTGAAAAGACAAATCAAAATTATCTCGTCACATAAGATTTCATAAAGAATGTGATAACGGTAAGTAATTATTTATAGATAATCTGTAAACACTACACTTTTACGGCTTCTAAAAAGCTTTTCGCAAACAAAATACGAGAACCTTAGTAAAAAACCAACCCCATTTGTTCGTGTAAACAGTCCAAACAGCGGCTATTTTCGTGTTTCAACCCTTCGCGAAGTAAAGCATAAAATTAAAATAGAGAATCGTCGACGAAGGCACTTTGTGCGCAGATTGTTTGGAATGAGGCGCAATTAACGCAGTGATCACTGAGCTTTGTGCGGTAAAATAGCATAGTTACAGCGGGAATAGCAACACAACGCATGAATGGGATTGTTGACATACAATACATACAAGGAGTGGGTTTATGCCCAATTTTAATTTTTATATAATACGAACTTACGATATTCATTTCTTAAATATCGTGACGTTTTAAGTGTTACCATGATATTAATATATTTTTGTGAAAATAACTACTTTGTTATTATTATTCATACAATTTATTATTATTTGGCTGAACTCGAACCTATGTCCTTTGCAATGTCGTTTCTCGTAACCAGCTGAACGATAGACTGAGTTAGCTGATCTTACGAATTTTTTTATGCGTTTGTTACAGATCTTTGTTTATGTATTTTTTCTTTTTTGTAATATCAAATACGGGATAAACAAGTTGTGTGTCTGGTGGTAAGAGACACGCTTATCCATAACAGATGGCACTCAGAGCTTTATATCACAAATATCTCAGGGGAAAGGCTCGCAAGCTACTCATGTGCATTATTAGTAGCGCGACCTATTCGCGCGCAGTGCACATACAGCGCGTTCGCAGCGCATTCGCCATATCTGTACGCACCCCTTCCCTTCTAAACTGGAACGCAGTAATGCTCACGTTACTGTTTAGCGGCAGAAATAGGAAAGGTGGCAATACTTCCCTGGACGAACTCTTCCTTATTAAAGAGTTAAGTTAAGTTAATTTAGTAGTAGTAACTACTAAATTAACTTTGTGTTAGGTTGCCTTTTTTTCTGTACAAACACATAAAGAAATTTGTAAGATCTGCTGACTCGGTCTATAGTTCAGTTGGTTAATAACGGCGGCCCGGCATGGCAGGTTTTGGTTCGAGTCAAGTCAGATGGAAGGAATTTTTCTGTGTATCGGATCTTGCTAATTTTCGCCATTTCTTTCGGGTCTACAGTTAGTGGTCTCATTTTTGATAGTTGTCGGATGACCTATTTCCGTGTTTGTAAATGTCACTACGTGCGCCTCTGCGAGCTGTTGGATCAAGTAACTAGGCCACCGTGAAGTTGGTGGAATACTTCGCGGCTATTCCATCTGTACCTCACGCACGTCGTCAGAATAACTACTTATGCTATTTACGACACAAACAGCAGACGTCGCTATGTTAAGTTATTCTAAAACTGATATTTCATAGTGCATTTATAAAACAAGGTTTTACATCTTTTATTTATAATTTCTTGGTATATAAGGGTACATAAATTTCTTTAACATTTCGTAAATCACTTTTTTTACTTTTTTATGTTTGGCGATATTTAGAAAAGGTTACATGCTCCACGGTAATGGACTGACTGTCCAGCGGAAGATGACAATTTTTAGAACGTTCAGGGTCACCCAATGTTCAGGGCTATGCTCGGAGTTTCATCGCGCGTGCGAATCAGACATGGGGATATCAGCAAACGAACCATAGTAACAGGTATAACCAAAGGAATTGTAAAACTTAAGTGACAGTGGGCGGTACTAATTGCTCGCAGATCAGATAGCAGATGGAGTCGAGTTTTCGAGTGTCGCTAACACGACAGGGCGCAACTTATATTACTTATATTCTCAAGCTTCTTTGTTGCTTGTCGCGCAAGATATTTTGGACAGGTACCTTTAAATAAGGTAATCAAGGTATTTGAAATTGCGTGTCCAACTTTATCATTATTACTACTAAGTAGTCCACGAACTTATGGTGTTTCATTATATTGTTATAATTATAATAAATCTGTATTACATATTACTCTGCACTAAATAAATTAAGAAAACAATGATTGAATGAGTCTCAGACATAAGTTTATTTAATCTACCTTGTTTCGTCTTTTTTTTTATAATATCAAGTGACGGGACGAACAAGTCGTGCGCCTGATGGTACGCTACGTGCCTGTCCATAACAGTTGTAGTGCCACTCATAGCTTTAATCGCAAAGATCTGAGGAGCACTGCCACTGCGCCCATCACCCTGAGACATAAGCTCAGTAGTCCCATGTGCCTGTAATTTCACCAGCACCCTTACCCTTCAAAAGCGTAACACAGCAATGCTGATATTACTGCTTGGCGGCAGGAATAAAGTGGCAGTACTTCCCTGGACGAACTCTTTCACAAGGAGCTCTACTGTTACTAAAATTATCTTTTAGAAAACGAAAGAAACTCCTTTCTTTTACCCCGTTTTTAGATGACGATTAACAGCCGTATACAGCACAATTCACGAAAATTATAAATAGTAATGTACAAAGATCTTATATATTAACATAAGAGTTTCGTAATGAATAAATGAAAACAATCTTCAAAGTCTTAGCGTGATAACGGTTCGATGACAGCCTTGTTGCCTTTCAGTCCATGTGTCCGTCAATGTGCTGCGCGTGTTGCGGTATTTAAAGCTACGGAGGGGCGGAAAGTGTCCACTCTCGTTACTTTTTTGTTCTCTGACGTAAGTGTGCGTCTTTCTGTACGCCGCTCGCATTGCATGGTAGGCGACCTCTAACTTGTCATAATCATTCGGTACCTCTGGTGCGATATAGCCACATCTACAAAATGACAACTTTTCAGGAGAAATATAAACATTTTACGAACAAAATTAGTCGATGACATTTTTATGCTTAAATAAGAGAGTAGGTACTGAAATTTCACATTATATATAATTTGTTTCATGTAGTTCGCACTTTTGTTATGACTTTCGTATGACTTGACCACTTTTGACGTATGATTATATGTGACTTTATTATACCTAGGGTACGATTTGATGAATAACCACCAAAATGGTAAAATGTATAATTGGTTGGTCTCATTTCTCTTTAGCTAGAACAGTATAATTTAAAACCTGACAAGTAATTATAGCTTCATCGCATTAAATTGCGTTAAGTTGACCCTTATGAGTCAACCTATAGTGGTTTTGCTTTAATGACTGGACAGCCAAAAACCTTATTTTACGACCATAGTTACCGTAATTTTGATATAATCCGCGTCGACATCAGCTTGGTCGGTTAACCGGTTAATTTGTGTATTTTTTATCGCGGCTTATTATCGATGTAGTGTGATAAAGTGTTTTTAGGCTTGATTTACTTACGTTTAAGTCAAAACAAAATTCATTTGGGTTTTGGTCGTACTGGCGACTTTCATCATGGTAACAAAATAACGTTAGATAACTGTAAGCGGACATAAAGTAAAATAAATTCTTTTAAAATTGGCGCATAAAAATCACGCGCACAAATCTGAAAGCGTGCTGTGCATCCTTTGTATTGAGTACATTCCTATTTCAAATACGATTTCGAACGAAAGTGTCATTTTTCAAATATCACCTGCATTTACGCAATTGCAGTTGGATTTTGTGCATTACTTTTAAAACCGTAATTTTAAAGAAATGCATGACTGGCCATAAGTTAATTGAATAATAAATTTTTCACCTCACTAGCTAGGAAAGGTTTTCTTCTCATTAGAAATCTGCACTCAAAAGCGTTTTTTGCACGTTGGCGTGGCGCACCTAACTTTATCTTCCGATGAAAAAAAAATACAATGACACGTACCATTTTCCTCGTTTTAGATAGGTGAAAGGTTGTGTGTTTCCCTCGGCAGCAAAGTTGTGTGACGTGTTGTGTGCCTTGAAACCCTCGCTGCGCTCAGGATTCTATTTTTGGATTGTAAGAGTCGTATTCCAGAACTCTACTCATTGCTCAAGTCAGGACTTAAGGAGACTTGACTATGATTTCAAGCACTGGAAATACGACCCTAATGGCAAGGACTTGAGTATGATTTTCAGTGCTCACTGCAATACTCAAGTCCTGACTTGAGTATTGAGTGGAGTTCTGGAATACGACCCTTAGTATCCTTCTCTTGCTCAGGTTTCAATACAAGCACTCGAGTTAAGCAACAACTTTGCAGCCTTGCATAACAAATAACTATTTCTATTTTAGTTTACTACGATTGATAAGGAAAAATTTTACAACTGTAGGAAACTAAAATTTTATTCTATTTGTACAATTTGTATGACCAAAGAAACTGTTTGCAAATTAAGCAGATTTTTGGCTGTAGAAAATAGAATATGGCATTTTAGAGAACAATATGTTCAATATTTCTTTTCCCTAAACATTTCGTGACCTACTTTGTAATGGTATAAACAAAATTGTTGATGACTTATTTTTGCTCAATTAGAATGTAAATCTTAATGAATACATAAATTTACTTACTGTTTTTAAATATTAGTAGTCTATTAAAAAGTTCGTATTCTAGTACTACAATACAATCAAAACTGCATGTTTGTAAATCGGATGAAAAATTAAAACTTTCCTAAATTTTAAGATGAAGTTGTCGTAGTATTTTTTTGTTCTTCAGTACAGGCTAAGACGTTTAAGTCATACTGCCAGATCTTATATTTTAAATTTCAATAAATGTTGTTAACTTTGGCTGTATGAGATGGCTACTTCTAGTAGGATTCTAAATCTATGCAAAATGATAAAGGTAATTAATTATAGCAAAATATACTGCTTACCGTTGGGAAATTTAGAAGGACTGAACAATCCGTCGTTAGCAGAACACAGTATCGTATTAAACAGGATCATTAGCCAGCAGTACCTGTAACAGAAACGAGAATATTACATAATAGTTTGCATTAGTATAAATTGTTAATTGGATTTTATTTTGTATTCTATGTCACGTTCGAACACTCCGGTTGTAGGATTTTATCCAACTTTTAACGCTAAAAAGTCCCTGACTCTGAAAAACTGATCAATAAATAAACACAATTTCGAAGCTGGCAAAGGGATCGGAACAAACTCGGACAGTCGATTGAAGAGCGCGCTGAATTTCCAATTACATCCATTTAGACGTACATTGCGAGGAAAAGAAAAGTGTCGATTTGCAATTCAGATCGTATTGGATCCCAGTTCGCGTGAAGAGAGCCTTAATTAATACGAATATTGGCGAATTTATTAAAGCCAAAAGAATTGTATTGACTTGTGAATCGAGACGTGAATTTTTACTGCAGATGAAGTCGAGCCCAATTTAAAATAGTGATTTGATACGCTGACATACATATCGTTATACGTATTTAGTAGCAGTAGAACTCCTTGTGAAAGAGTTCATCCAGGGAAGCACTGCCGAAGAGCAGTGTGATGTGAGCATTACTGCGTGTCCGTGTTGAAAGATATGGGCGCTGGTACAAACACGTGTGACTTGTTAATTTATGCCTCAGGCGCAGTGCCAGTGTACCTCAAATCTTTAGGATTTAAATTTCTGAGTAGCACTGCACCTGCATGGACAGACGTGTCGCCTAACAACATATACATAAAAATATATATAAAATAGGCACTAACAGTGGTATATCTCCCTTCAAAATTAGAATTTTAATTGAGCTCCGTGAAAGTGATGATAAATTAAATAAAATTACTTGAAAACAATCTTTGAAATCTATAAAAAAAATTAAAAAAGATTTAAGATTTATTGTTATAAACGATACGATGCCGTATTATATAAGTACATATGAAGAGACCAGGGAAAGTATGACCAAAATCATTATTTTTTCCTAACATTGTCCTCAAGTGATTTTGATCATTCTTTCCCTGGACTCTTCGTATATGTAATGTTCGCCAATGTTTTGAGTGAGGATACTCCCCTGCGAATTCTGTCAAGCTAAGCCCCATACACTGCGATTTATTTTCAAGGAATAGTCAATAAAATGAGTATAAGAAAATTATAAGACCAACCAAGGACGTAGTTATTTCGAATAATCTACTCGACAAATACGTCAATCGAGTACCTGGTCTCTAACTAGAGAATTTCCAGTACTATGACTATCAGAGTAACGGAATTCACTCCGGGCTACTGTTCAGAACACTCAGACTAGTAACATTTAGAAAAATCCATTTCCCAAATGGGTCAAATCGGGACAAATCCCGATTTGACCATCTACAGTGCAAAAACCATTGGGCCACCGAGGTCGTCAACAATTAAATCTATTAGTAGTTTAAATTTGACACTCTCCGTGGTTGAGTGGCTTGCGCGTTGCACACCGGTTTTCATTGTGTCGCCATCTCTGAGGTCCCGGCTTTGATCCCCGGCCGGGTTAATGTAGAAAAACCAACTACCCTATATCATCTTTTTTTTATAATGCCCACCAAGCGACAGGATGAACAAGTCGTGCACCTGATGATATGCGACACGACTATCCATAACAGTTGCAGTGCCACTTAGAGCTTTTAATCGCAAAGACTCTAGGTCTTGCCACTTTGTCCGTCACAAGTCGGTTAAAAATAGTTTCTACGTGTAACAATCGCGATAACCTAATACTCATTGTAATGAAACCACTGATGTTTAACACTCTTCTTTTGCTTTCAAAATCAAGTAAAATTTAACAATCGGGCAAAACGAAGTAGTCAAACCCAATAAACTTTCATATACAACATTAAAGTTTAGCGAATCTATTTGAATGAATTACGAGACTTAAGTACATAAACAAATTGTCGGTACATGGAATTCGTGTTGCAAATATCTTAAACAAAACATGCGTTGGCGTCGAGTCAAAGGCCATTTGAAATGTGGGACCTGAGAAGATAACACGAAGCAATAAAGTGGGAGACAACAAAGCTTGTTCAAGTCGTTCGTGGAGGTGGGAGTTATAAACAATTTTATTAGTAAAGCTCGAAGAAATACATAAACATACGGATTTTAAAATTTAGAAGGAAGTTTACAACAAATACAGCAATTCCAACTCAATAAACACGTTCGAAATGTGTTTGAATATTTGAACAAACTTCAAATGTTTTATTTTCAATTACTGGGTTTTTTTTATAATATCAAGTGACGGACGAATAAGTCGTGCGCCTGATAGTAAGCTACACGCCTGTCCATAACAGTTGCAGTGCCACTCGAGCTTTAAATCGTAAAGATCTGAGGGCCACTGTCACTGCGCCCGTCACCCTGAGACATAAGTTGATAAGCCCCATGTGCCAGTAATTTCACCAGCAACCTTACCCTTCAAAATCGGACCACAGTATTACTGACATTATTGCTTGGCGGCAGAAATAGGTAAAGTGGCAGTACTTCCTTGGACGAACTCTTTCACAAGGGGCTCTACTGCTACTACTGGGTGTCATTAACGTAGGGTTATAGTGTGTGCGTAAAAAAAGTTCTGATTAATACAAAGATCGAACACAGAGAAAAATATCCTTCGATCCGATAGGGCACGAACCCGTGTCTATATGCCAAACTAGGACAACAGCTACTAATTTCTCTATGTTACAGATCTTAGTTTTTTTGTTTTAACGACTTTTTTCAGTAGCCTGTGAATCTATGAAAGGTTTTCTTCTCTCGACCAGGTACCATTACAACAATCAGCGGTTGACAAGTGAAGTCGGTTTATAAATAGTAATATTGATTGTAATGAATATTACGATGTTTTCCTACCATGACGTATATTTTATTTTGGTAAAATTATTTTAATATTTATTAATACAAAGTCAGATCGATCTGACAGGACACGAACCAGTATCTGTAATCTTGGGCAACAACGACTTTAAAGTTTTAAAATTTTAAAAAGACAGCAGCTTTATTAAGTTATAATTAAAAAATCGGGTATCAAAAAATTATTTATATATAAAAGTACAATGGTACTTTTATTATATTATATGTTATTATATATTAGTAACCGGACTCTTTGTTCAAATTATATACCAACTAACATATGAACAGGTTTTATCTTTACGTTTTATGACCTTTATGTGTCTTATGTAACAAATTAAAAGCATTGCATGCATAGGTAAAGCAGAAACAAATGCCCGCCATAAATTTCATATGCAAGTTTAGTAGCAGTAGAGCTCCTTATAAAAGAGTTCGTCCAGGGAAGTATTGCCACCTTACCCATTTCTGTCGCCAAGCAATTATGTGAGTATTACTGCGTTCCGGTTTTCTAGGGTAAGCGCATTTGGGCACTGCATCCGATTATAAACACTTATTCGTTCCGAGTCTGAGACAATACAAATCTAGAAAACCCGGACCCACTTCAGATGTCGCTAGTGCACTATATCGTAAATATTGCTTGATGAGATTCACCTAGAGATAAAACGATCCCTGTGACATTTAGGACCGTCATTTCTCGGATTCGGAACGGGGTCTACTCTCTATCTCCGTCCGATATCCGTCCGAAACAATTACTGTCAAATAAGTAATATTCGACAAAATTAAAAGACAAGTATCAAGTATGAAGCTTCATTCGCATCACGCGTCTTTTCATTTGGTCAAGTATTGCTTATTTGGCAGTATTTCTTTCGGACGGATGTCAGACCCCTGATACGAATCGGACGTAGCGCGCAAACGCTCTAAGGGTGTTGGTGAATTTACAGGAACTCGGGACTTTTTGACTTATGTCTCGGTGACGGACGCAGTGGCAGTGCCCGTCAGATCTTTGAGATTTAAAGCTCTGAGTGGCATTGCAACTGTTATGGCCATGCGCTTGCGCCTGATGGTGGCACGACTAGTTTGTCTCGTCACTCTAACTTTATCGTTGTGAACTGTCTAGAATATCACCAACAAAATTTTTCAGACGAGATTTTCTTCATCTGAAAACTTAACTTGTCATTCGCTTAAAGTGGAAGGCTTACTGTCCACGGCAGCGTCATTTGACGAATGCATGCAAGCTGCAAATGACGAAAAGTGTATTTTGCACCTTAGTTCTGTCCACATATTGTTCAATAATATGAACAAAGTTACCCGCTGTTGCCGCCATTTTGCGAAATAAACACGTGTTTGCGTCTCGCAATACGCTCGAGTAGTGACATGCTGCAGCACGAGCTTCATGACGAACGCAAATGCGGCGTTGTTGTCCAGTAGACACAGTTTCGTTGGTTTCTACGCAAGATGCAAGCATGCAGCACACTAGTGTAAAATGACGATAGCGTGCGTATGACGTGCAGTCTATGTGGACAGTAAGCCGAAGACGATATCGCTTATTCGATCGCAAATATAAGTTGGTAGCATAAGTACGATGACGACACAACATAATGCGTAATTTATAATGTTTGTACAGTAATTGCAACAATTTGCTAGACGTCTTTGAAGATGTCATTATCGATTAGTTATATTGGGTTGTGTACGAACATGGTTCTAGCAAATTTTAAATGAGAATTGCACAATTCTATAAAGAAACCTCATTAGGCATCCTACTTATTCAAGAGTTTATAAATAGAATTTCAACAAATTACGATTAATATATTACTAGGAAATTGTGCGTCTTATTTTTGCATAGAGTGGCAAGGAATACTCGGTTATTATTCGGTATTCGACACCTTACGCCTGCTTTTTGCTATTGGGCCGAATATCGAATACTTAAAAACAGGAAGAAGAAATAAGAAAATACATGGTAAATTAAAATATTAATTTCATAAATGAAAGCGCAAGAGTTTGCTTCTTTTTGTATCTAAAAGATTAAAGGTAATGTAATGGTGCGGTTTTCATGACGTCATTCACGAAGGCGCCCCCTATTGACGAGCTTAAATATAATGTGCCAGTTTCGCCCCTCTCACCAACTCAAGAAGGTAAAAAAGCCTGTTGTTTTCTAAAATACACAAAATAGTAAAAAA